CACACACAGACACACACACAGACAGAGACACACACACACAGAGACACACACACAGACAGAGACACACACACACACTCGCACACACAAACGCTGATCTGAAGTACACCTGCGCTGGCGTGACAGCGAGAAGCACACTTTGATGTCAGATGTTTGTTTGCTGTGTGTCCTTCTGTGAACTTGGGAAAACCTCTTTTCAGAGTCGATGAGCGCTGTATCCACACGACTGTCAACATCTATAACGCTGTTTAGAAACAGACAGTGAAGATACGCTGAAGTAAACACTGTGTGTCAATCAGTTTGAGTGGCACCTGTCAGTTTGACCGCTGCTATATATATATATATATATATACACACACACACACACACACACACAAACACATTTGTAGAATGTATAAAATAATAATTATTATATTATAATAGGTAAACAAAAAATAACTTGTGATTGTGATATTTTAGAAAACAAGATTGGATTTCACTACAATTAAAACATGGTAATGTCATTGTAATGCAAATATTTTCATTTAAGTGTTAAGTGTTTAACTTTTTATTTTAAATATTCTACTTTAAGAATTACTTTTGTGGTATTTTATATTTTTTTTATTTTACCACTATAAAAAAAAACAAATATTTAAACTTTTATTTTTAGCCTTTTTTAGTAAATGATTATTTTGACCGTTTTTATTTATTTTTAATATTTTGAAAAAATGTTTTAATGATTTAATCAGTTATTAGCTTTTCACAAACTCAGGAAACCCTGGTCTAAATGTCTGTCTTCGTAAATTACAAAAAATAATATCATATATATATATATATATACAGTGAATGATTTTAGCAAATGGCTGCAATATAACAAAGAGTGAAAAATTTAAGGGGGTCTGAATACTTTCCGTACCCACTGTATATATATATAAGGGCATCATTCAAAATTCATTATAAACAAATCATTTGCAAAATATGATCATTTTAAATTATGCGTATGTATACAAAACTATTATATTTAAAATTATTTGTGTATTTTAGAATAAAGCACAAACAGGCTGAAGCTGCTGCATCGTGACGCAGTGTGACATAAATCGCTTCCAGTGTGACTGAACATCATTTTAATCATATTTTTCAAGTATTATTAATTTCACTGGGTGTAAAACAGTTGCACCTGTAAGGAATATAGTGTTATTATCTCTGCGCTGGTATCTGGGGGCTTTGTTGGTTCAGGCGATCTCTAATGTCACATTCTCTCTGCGAGCGGCCGCCGCCTCTGGGAACCAGAGTCAATTACCAACAAATAATTACAGAAACATTTGAGTGGCTCGTCAGACGCGGGGAAGGTTCGTCAAGGTCAAGATTTCTCATGAAACAATTTCATGCTGCTTAAAATTTGCCAAAGTCCACATAAATCAAAATCCAGCACATTTACTTTAATACAAGCTCTTGGTGTTATTTGGGAAACATTCATCAGTGAACGTGATTCTAGATGAGTGATTCCCTTTTTGGGAATCAGTTTTAAAATGCATAAAAGAACTAATTATACCAGGTAAACATAAAATACCAGTTTATTTATTTAATGTATAAAATAATGACAATATTTCATCTCTTAAAATAAGTGTTTTTTTTGTTGTTTTTTTACTTTTTTTGTTTTGTTTTAAATATTTAATTTGACATTTTTTTAATTTAATGAATAAGCTTTTCCCAAACTCTGGAAACCCTGCTCTGAAGTCTTCGTAACTCTTTCATCAATCCACTTTTCGCTCTACAATCTAGTCCTGACAGATAAAATGAATGATGAAAGTAAACCCGGTTTTGAATGTCGTGTCATGCTGACTTTAAACAGGTTCTGGTTTGAGTCTCACCATCCACGCCGTCACAAAGTCTCCCATCCACGTTCCTACAGCAGCCATCTTCATGAAGCTCTCGTTCCTGATGCCCATGTACTCCGTCACCATGTGAGGCCTGTAGAGACAGATCACCGCCGATCAGCTCCAGCAAGCCAAAGAGATGAGTACCACTGAAATACCATGTTTTGCTTAACATTTTTGAACATTTCCCATGTTAAAACTGTGTTTTTGGACATGTACCATTAAATGATCATGTTTTTTGGACATATCACATGGTAACACCATGTTTGTCTTATAGTTGCCCATTGTAATACCATGTTTTTTTGGACATGAAGCATTAAAATAGCATGTTTTTTGAACATGTACCATATTATTACCATGTTTTAAGACATTTCCCATGGTAAAAATATGTTTTTCGAACATTTACCACAGTAATGATTGTTGAATATTTCTCATGTTTATACAATGTTTTTGGGCATGTACCATTGAAAAACCATGTTTTTGGACATGTAAAATTTTATTACCATGTTTTTTTTGTTTTTTTTAAAATAAACCCTTTAAGATACCACATTGTTTGAACATGTACCACAGTATTACCATGTTTGGGGACATGTCCTACAGTATTTTTTTTTTTTTACATTTACCATGGTAATAACATGATTTTGAACATTTCTCATGTTAATACCATGTTTTTAGACCATTGAATAATCCTGTTTTTGAACATGTATCATTGTATTGCCATGTTTTGGGAATATGTCCTGTGGTAATATCAAGTTTGTTTTGAACAATTACCATGGTAATACCATATTTTTAAACATTTTCTATTTTAATACCATGTTTTTGTAGTTGTACCATTGATTTACCATGTTTTTTTTTACATTTACCATGGTAATACCACATTTTTTGAACATTTACCATGGTTTTACCATGCATTTTGGACATGTATCTTTGAAATACCATGTTTTTGAACCATGGAATTACCATGTTTTTCAACATGTCCCATTGCAATCTAATGTTTTTTGAACATTTACCACGGTAATATCACGTTTTTTGATAATTTTCCATGTTTCTGGACATGCACCAGTACTACCTCGCTTTTATTTTGGGCATGTACCATTGAATTACCATGTTTGTTGGACAGTTACCATGGTAAAACCATGTTTTTTTTGTTAAGAGACACTGATCTGGTCAGTCTGATGTTTTGTGTCACAGCTGATCATGAGGTGTAACTTCTTCAGCTGCATCTTCTCCAGAAGCTTTTATCTGACCTGACATCTTCAATCAGGACACGCTAACATCATCAGCAACACTTCAGAGGCCTTTATAATACATTCAGGGAACGACTGGCTTCCAGAAAACGATCCAACGCAAATAAAAACACAGCCAAGCGTTCACACATTGTGACAGCGAGGGAATGTAATCTCCTTTACACAGCTTTTATGCCGTCAGAAGTGTTTACAGGCCTTGAACAGGTACAAACTCGTTAATCTGCTTATGCACGTCGCTTTGTGGATTACAGACGGCGGGAAACGCAGAACAAGGCCAATTTTGTTGCACACAAATGTCAGAACGAGTGGATTGCCGCCACCCGGGTTCTTTGGTCTGGGTGTTATGGATAATAACACCATTATCCTGTAAATGAGCTTTCATCCTCATTAGCACGTCCAATCAACGCAAATCTGTAAACCAAACGAACGCTTGACCCACATGGCGTGTGTGAGATTGAATCTGTATTCCATTCGTTACGGCCCGTCGTTAGAGCGCATGTCCAGAGCGCGACTTATCACCTTCCCCCGCGCCGATAAAGCCGCTTTGATTAGAAGGAAGATTTATTGGCCATTAAGTGGGTTTCAAACACCCCGCGGTTGTGGAAGGCGGCCAGCCGCTGGGAGTCGTTCACCAAGGGCATCGAGCTAATCGATAATACGGGAAGCATCCGATGCAGTCCAGCGCCTCAGACGCTCACGGCTGTGTTAGTATGTAACGCAGCGACCGGTGTAGGTCTTACAGTATTACACACAGAGCCAAAGTGAGCTCTCTCTCGCTCTCTCTCTCACACACACACACACACACACACTCTGATTAGTGTCTCAGGTCTTCATTTATTCATCATGGCTGTAATTTTAATGCAGTACTGCTGGGTGACCTAACGAAGGGAAACTAAGTCACATCAGCAGCACAAATGACACACACATCACACCATGCTTGTTGGAAACATGCTATTTTTAACATCTACCATGGTATTACAATGTTTTTGGACATGCTGCATGGTCACGTCTTTTCCCATGGTTTCTCATGGTTATACCATGTTTTTGCATTTTTTTTACATTTACCGTGCTGTTGTGGACATACACCACAGTATTACAATGTCTTTTGAACATACACTATGTGAATACCATTTCAAACATTTACCATGGTAATAGCATGTTTTTTTAATTTGATGGAATTTTTTTTATATTTACCATGATAATACCACAGTTTTGAACATTTACTCTGGTATTACCATGTTTTTGAACATGTACCATAGTAAGATGTTTTTTTTTTTTGAAGATTTCCCATGTCATTACCATGTTTTTAGACATATACCACTGAAATTCCATGTTTTTTGAATATTTACCATGATAATACCACAGTTTTGAACATTTACTCAGGTATTACCATGTTTTTGAACATGTCCCATGGTAACATGTTTTTTTTTTAAGATTTCATGTCAATACCATGTTTTTCAAATATTTACCATGGTAATACCAAGTTTTCTTAATAAATGCAATTTTTTATATTTACCACAATAATACCACAGTTTTAAACATTTACTCTGGTATTACCATGTTTTTGAACATGTCCCATGGTAAGATGTTTTTTGAAGATTTCCCATGTCAATACCATGTTTTTGGACATATACCATTGAAATATCATGTTTTTCAAATATCTACAATGGAAATACCATGTTTTTGAAAATTTTCCATGCAAATACCATGTATTTGGACATGTACAATAGTATTACAATGTTTTCTGGACATATATCATTGAAATTCCATGTTTTTTTGAATATTTACCATGGTAATACCAAGTTTTCTTAATGTATTTTTTTATATTTACCACAATAATACCACAGTTTTGAACATTTACTCTGGTATTACAATGTTTTTGAACATGTCCCATGGTAACATGTTTTTTGAAGATTTCCCATGTCAATACCATGTTTTTGGACATATACCATTGAAATATCATGTTTTTCAAATATCTACAATGGAAATACCATGTTTTTGAAAATTTTCCATGCAAATACCATGTATTTGGACATGTACAATAGTATTACAATGTTTTCTGGACATATATCATTGAAATTCCATGTTTTTTTGAATATTTACCATGGTAATACCATGTTTTTGAAAATTTTCCATGATAACACCATGATTTTGGACATTACAATTTATTTATTTATTTATTGTTTTTGGACATGTACCATTGAAATGCCTTTTCCCCCATGATAATACCATGTTTTTTTTAACATAAAATGTATTTTTTTCCAGATTACTATATGCTGATTGATTTTTTATATTTACCACAATAATACCACAGTTTTGAACATTTACTCTGGTATTACAATGTTTTTGAACATGTCCCATGGTAACATGTTTTTTGAAGATTTCCCATGTCAATACCATGTTTTTGGACATATACCATTGAAATGCCATGTTTTTCAAATATTTACCATGGAAATACAATGTTTTTAAACGTTTTCCATGCTAATGCCATGTTTTTGGACATACAATTGAAATACCACGTTATTCAAATATTTACCATGGTAATACCATGTTTCACAAACATTTACCATGGTAATACCATGTTTTTGAAAATTTTCCATGATAACACCATGATTTTGGACATTACAATTTATTTATTTATTTATTGTTTTTGGACATGTACCATTGAAATGCCTTTTCCCCCATGATAATACCATGTTTTTTTTAACATAAAATGTATTTTTTTCCAGATTACTATATGCTGATTGATTATTAATTCTAACCACACATATATAAATAAGGAAGAGTTCAACAGCTTGCCTGTACACATGTGGTTTAACCGAACGATTCCCCAGAGTCTCTTCTGTTAATTATAGTTCTACAGCAGCCCGGTTCATGAAAAATGAAACGCACTGCTAAAAAAAGAGGTCACATATGCTGCACGAGTTGATTTGAATCAACAAAACCAGCCGTAACTGACGGAAACGAGCGGCCCTGACGAGGGAGGAACATCAGGTGCGCAGACCCTCGTTCCTGGAAGTCAGAGAGGCCCGTGACAGGATTACTGATGTGTCTGGATGTGCCGGTATTCCCGGGATGAGCGTGTCAGCCGTGAGAATTAATATGAATGATGCTCCCGAGCGACTGCTAATGAGTCCAGTCTCACAGAGAACAAAAGTCCAGTCATGATTTGACGAATTCAAACTGCAGTGGCTGCTTAAATTTTCAATGTGCCTTTGGTGTGTTTTCAGGGCCGCAGACGGAATCGGTCGGATTCTGTGCAAACGGCCACCGGCCGGCTCTCAGAGATGTTTGTGACATTCTCACCGGCTCCTGAGGCACAACTGAATTTTAATTAGACACGTCTCAGGAACCACAAATCTGAAATAGACCCTAAAACGCTTCCTTGAGCCTCACTGGCACCTTACAGGACAGAATAACGATCAGGCCGAGTGATGGGCCCCATCTAGAACTCTTAAAGTCAGCATGAAATGTAAATTCACCCTATCTATACTTTCTACACACGTTATTGAGCTCATTGTAAATTATTCACCAATGCATATATCTCATTTTTGTCATTCTTTATCAGATTCATTGTTATTTTAGAATCTATAATACAATACTATTACAGTTTTTGTTAATATTTTGTATTAGATTCTATATTTCTTTTCTCACTTTAATTTTATAGTGATTTTGATGTGTTTTTGTTACATTTTATTAAGTTTTTTATATAGTTTTTATTTATTATTTACTTTAGTTTATACAGTTTTATTTATTTTAGTACATCAAGATATATTAAATGAAAATGAGAAATGTAATTTTAATTAGTTTTTGTATGTCTTGTATATGTATATGTCTATTTTGCATA